TCTGGAATTTAATTATATCCCATTTGTCTATTTTGGCTTTTGCTGCCAATGCTTTTGGTGTTTTAGTCATGAAGTACCTGCCTATGCCTATGTCCAGAATGGTTTTGCTTAGGTTTTCTTCTAGGGTTACCTTCTGGAGGTAATTTTAGTGTAAGGTGTCAGGAAGGGGTCCAGTTTCTGCTTTCCGCACACCCCTAGCCACTTTTCTCAACACTATTTATTAAATAGGGAATCCTTTCCCCATTGCTTGTTTCTGTCAGGTTTGTCAAAGATCAGATGGTTGTAAATGTGTGATGTTGCCGCTGAGACCTCTGTTCTGTTCCATTGGTCTGTATCTCTATTTTGGTACCAGTACCACCTTGTTTTGATTACTGTAGCCTTGTAGTATAGTTGGAAATCAGGTAGCGTGATGCCTCCAGCTTTGTTCTTTTTGCTTAGGATTGTCTTGGCTATGCGGGCTTTCTTTTGGTTCCATATGAATTTTAAGGTGGTTTTTTCCAGTTCTGTGAAAAAGGTCATTGGTAGCTTGATGGGGATAGCATTGAATCTATAGATAACTTTGGGCAGTATGGCCATTTTCCCGACATTGATTCTTCCTAACCATGAGCATGGAATGTTTCTCCATCTGTTTGTATCCTCTTCTATTTCCTCGAGCAGGTTTGTAGTCCTCCTTGAAGAGGTCCTTTACATCCTTTGTTAGTTGTATTCCTAAGTATTTTATTCTCTTTATAGCAATTGTGAATGGGAGTTTGCTCATGATTTGGCTCTCTGTTAGTCTGTTATTGGTGTATAGAAATGTGTGATTTCTGCACATTGATTTTGTATACTGAGACTTTGCTGAAGTTGCTTATCAGTTTCAGGAGATTTTGGTCTGAGATGATACGGTCTTCGAAATATACAATCATGTCATCTGCAAATTAACTTCCTCTTTTCCTAATTGAATACTTTTTATCTTTTATTTCTTGCCTAATTACTCTGGCTAGAACTTCCAATACTATACTGAATAGGAGTGATGAGAGAGGGCGTCCTTGTCTGGTGCCAGATTTCAAAGGGAATGCTTCCAGTTTTTGCCCATTCAGTATGATATTGGCTGTAGGTTTGCCATAAATAGCTTTTATTATTTTGAGATACGTTCCTTCAATACCTTGTTTATTGAGAGTTTTTAGCGTAAAGCACTGTTGAATTTTGTCAAAGGCCTTCTCTGCATCTATTGAGATAGTCATGTGGTTTTTGTCTTTGGTTCTGTTTATGTGGTGAATTACATTTATAGACTTGTGTATGTTGAACCAGGCTTACATTCCCGGGATGAAGCCTACTTGATTGTGATGGACAAGCTTTCTGATGTGCCATTGCAATTGGTTTGCCAGTATTTTATTGAAGATAGCATCTATGTTCATCATGGATATTGGTCTGAAGCTTTTGTTATTGAATCTCTGCTGAGTTTTGGTATCAGGATGATGTTGGTCTCATAAAATGATTTGGGAAAGATTCCGTCTTTTTGTATTGTTTGGAATAGTTTCAGAAGGAGTGGTACCAGCTCCTCTTTGTACATCTGGGAGAATTCAGTTGTGTATCTGTCTGGATCTGGACTTTTTTTGGTTGGTAGGCTATTAATTGTTTCCTCAACTTCAGCCCTTGTTATTGGTCTGTTCAAGGTTTCAACTTCTTCCTGGTTTAGGTTTGGGAGGGTGCAAGTGTCCAGGAATTTATCCATTTCTTCTGGGTTTCCTGGTTTACGTGCATAGAGGTGTTTGTAGTAATCTCTGATGATGGTTTGTATTTCTGTGAAATTGGTAGTGATATCCATTTTATCGTTTTTGATTGCATCTATTTGATTCTTCTCTCTTTCCTTTTTTTTAAATCTGGCTAGTGGTCTGCCTATTTTGAAGACACAATGTATCAGAATCTCAGGGATACATTTAAAGCAGTGTCTAGAGGGAAATTTATAGCAACAAATGCCCACCAGAGAAGCAAGGAAAGATCTAAAATCGCCACCCTATCGTCAAAATTGAAAGAGCTAGAGAGGCAAGATCAAAAAAACTCAAAAGCTAGCAGAAGACAAGAAATAACTAAGATCAGAGCAGAACTGAAGGAGACAGAGACACAAAAACCCTTCAAAAAATCAATAAATTCAGGAGATAGTGTTTTGAAAAGATCAACAAAATAGACCACTTGCCAGATTAATAATTTTTTTTTTTTTTTGAGATGGAATTTCACTCTTGTTACCCAGGCTGGAGTGCAATGGCGCGATCTCGGCTCACCGTAACCTCTGCCTCCTGGGTTCAAGCAATTCTCCTGCCTCAGCCTCCCGAGTAGCTGGGACTACAGGCGCACGCCACCATGCCCAGCTAATTTTTGTATTTTTAGTAGAGACGCGGTTTCACCTTGTTGACCTGGATGGTCTCGATCTCTTGACCTCATGATCCACCCGCGTCAGCCTCCCAAAGTGCTGGGACTATAGGTGTGAGCCACCTCGCCTGGCCTTAATAAATTGTTTTTAAGTAAAGTTCTCAGTAATTTTTCCAAACTTTTTTCCCCATTGTCCTCAGTAAGAAATACACCTTACCTTGCAACTAGTACATATACATTCACATAATAAGAACATGAAGATTCGTGAAACAATTCTTATTTTTATTACCTATGCTCAGATAAAAGCTATGTATAATGTGAATATTTGTTTTATTAATCTGTAAACACAAAATGGAAACAAATCAAAAACAAACTATACCAAACTAAAAATTAGGAAATACTTTATTTAATGCTGCAGCTATGTGTTTTTGTTATTTTAATTGGTTCAAGATTGAAAATCCTTATTTACACAAATAGGCTCTTGAGAATGTTAACAATGGCAGCATATTCTGATGTTTAACTTCTTTATACTTTATTCAAATTTCTTTTTTAAACTGCTGATGATGACTCCCTAATGTCATAACTATTGTTTGAAAAACAGTAAGCCAGAAATATTGTTAAATTGCCTACTATTAAGATGAGCAAAGATAAGGCAAATGCATTACAAGTATCTACAATAGATCCTTATTGGAGCTCAGACATCTGCAATTTTTTTTTTTTTTTTTTTTTTTTTTTTAGACAGTCTTACTCTGTCACCTAGGCTGGAGTGCTGTGGCATGATCTCAGCTCACTGCAACCTCTGCCTCTCCGGTTCAATCAATTCTCTCCCTCAACCTTCCCAGTAGCTGGGATTACAGGCACTCGCCACCATGCCAGGCTAATATTTATATTTTTAGTAGAGACAGGGTTTCACCACCTTTGCCAGGCTGGTCTTAAACTCCTGACCTCATGATCCACCTGCCTTGGCCTCCCAAAGTGCTGGGATTACAGGTGTGAGCCACCGTGCCCACCACATCTGTCTTTTTTAAAGCTCTCTAGAGGGGAATCCCAGTTTTTCATTCACTACTGTGGATAATTTGTAACAATTCTCTTTATGTGGACAGTCATCTGTATTTCACCGTGGACTGCCATTCAAATTCATTTCTTCTTGATAATCAACAGGTGCTCTAAAGCTTCTTTTTGCCTGGGTGTATCCTTCTCTCTGCCTTTCCCCACTTATCCACAGGAAGCCACACTGGTCCACCCACTGGGCCATGCCTGACCCATGCTCTTTCCTTTTCCTGCAGTTTTCCATGTTGCTGTTCTTCAGGGAGACTCTCATCTCCTATTTTTTTTTTTTTTGAGACGGAGTTTCGCTCTCGTTACCCAGGCTGGAGTGCAATGGCGCGATCTCGGCTCACAGCAACCTCCGCCTCCTGGGTTCAGGCAATTCTCCTGCCTCAGCCTCCCGAGTAGCTGGGATTACAGGCACGCGCCACCATGCCCAGCTAATTTTTTGTATTTTTAGTAGAGACGGGGTTTCACCATCTTGACCAGGATGGTCTTGATCTCTTGACCTCGTGATCCACCCGCCTCGGCCTCCCAAAGTGCTGGGATTACAGGCGTGAGCCACCGCGCCCGGCCCTCCTATCTGGTATTCTAAATCCTGCACATCCTTCAAGTAGCAACATAAGCTCACCCACCATCAGGTCTTGCTGATCATGCTGCCCCATATCTTTTCTTCCTTTTCTGATGACCTATAGGCCTGGAAAGGCTTTAATTCCATATTTGTTGATACAGAAAAATGTTGAGGATCCTGTTGGAAAAACAGTGTATTTGTAAAATAGCATGTACATTGTAGAGCTAAAGATAAAGATAAAGCTATACCTCCAGAAATTAACAAGACGTGAGTATTTGGGTAATTCTCACCAAATTCTCTTGGTTTTATTTTCCCAGTTTATGCTTTCTTATTAACACATAGTATACAATAAAAATAATAAAAGGAAAGTCTTAACTTTTGAGCTAGCTGTGAATGTCTTCTATCATTTGAGCGGTCCCCAAATTTAACACAAATACATATGGGCTTAATTGTTCTCTTCTCATGTGTTCAGCTTCCACTTCCAAATGTATTGCAATATTCTTGAAAATCCAATGCTACTTTTCTGTTTTTTCTTAATTTTCACTTTCCAATTTTGATATAACAGCAAGTTATTAATGAACTTACTCTTGATAACATCTGAATGTAATCAAGTAAAAGCTTATACTGTATATGTCTAGAAGATATTTGTGTTATATTTTACTTCCTTCAGACCACTGAACACTCTGTAAATATTGCCTCTCAGATTAAAGCATAACATCAGAGAAAAGGAGAGTGCTTTGTTTTTGAAACTGATAATCTACAGTAGCTATGCAAACTATACATGTGAGGCTTTTTTGTTTACACTATGTGTTCCACAATTTGGTTTTCTTAAGAAAAAGACACAGGAAGGAAAATGAGAGAAGAAGTAAAAGTGAAAGAAAGGTAAGAAAGACAATGAAAAAAAGAAAATGATAAAGAGAAAGGAGAGATACAAGGGGAGAAAAAAGGGAGAGAGGAAGAAGAAAAAAGAAAAATGGATAGTTAAGCAACAGGAATAAAAGAGGGGAAATTAAGCAGTGTTTTTTTTTTTTAGTCTCTAGAGAGACTGTCAAAAATTGCCAATGCCAACTATATTTCAAGTCGTCATGGCAAGGTATTGGGAAAAGTTTTCAATTAGCAATAATCGAGCCTTGGATAAACCTCATTGCCTATAACATTGCCACTGTGAAAAGCTAATTAAGTCTTATTTTTTAAGGGGAAACAATAAATATTACACTAAAGCTACCACCAGAAAAAAATAGAGTAAGACCCATAGTTATTTACTTGTTTATTTATTTATTTTGCTTTTCAGTCTTTCAAATTTTAAAGATAGTTATTTTGGGCCCCAAATTCTTTTTTTCTTTTCTGCTTAAAGAAGTCAAAATGAAATATTCCTTAGTTCTCTAAATAATGGGTTGAGATACAAGATAAAGATCTGAGAGAAAAGAAAAAGAGTCTTTAAATAATTTTTATTTTATCTATAATTTACCTTTTGCTGACTCTAATCTAGGACTTTACAGGCATTTTATAAATCCTCACAGCAATGTCATGAGGTTTTATTTGTACCCTTATTTTACAGAGAAGAAGATGCCCGTTTGAAGAAGGTAAGACTTCATCCACAGCTGGGAAGTGGGAGAGCCAGATTTCAAAGCCAGGTCTACTAACTATACTTCCTCTCCAAATCATTGCTCTTTCTGGAGCAACAACTCAATTGTTCTCTTTTAATCATCTGTTTTTCTAGGTCTCCCAGAACTCTCTAGATGTGACTACATTTATTTATTATGAATTTATTTTGCAGTTGACTTAGAGAAAAAAATGTGATTAAAAACACCTGTCTGGCATAACGTCATTACCAGGTTGGGCCTAGCCCCACCCCAAGGCAATGAATCTGGACTGGTTTGCCTGCTCAGACCCAGAGACTCCCTGTGAGGTCTGACTCCACCCTGGAGATATAGGATAGCTGTGGCACAAGATATGTCCCTGGAGCCTGGGAAACTATATCAAGGCAATCGCTAAACTGTGGAAACACTGCCATTAATTTGGCAGATAATGGCTGTGAGAAAAGGAGGCTCAACAGGGACCATGATGGGTCTCAAGGATTAGGAGACATCCCTCAAGCACTTTGCTCAAGCCAAACCAGCTCCTCACAGCAGGTGGGTAAGAGGGTGTGGTCTCGGCTGGTGCCTAGCTACCTCTCCCAAACATTGGCCTGCGGGAAGGGATTATGGTTCCTGTGCAGTGTGTGCCTCTTCCGAAGTAGGCAGCAGTCAGCCTGTCACTGCTGGAGTCACTATGACCACCAATTTCTGTCACCAGCTCTGTTTTTCCTGGGATATATCAGATATCACATCTTATATTTTACATTGTGTCAGTTTAATATAGCAAGATGATCCCATGTGCAAATAATGCATCCAAAGGAAATCTTAAAATAAACAAATGGCACATACTTCACTCCTTGAGTGGGTTGGGCCAAATGCTGTGCATCAGAAGGGAGGCTCCTTGACACAGAGCATTTATGTGGAGGCTTCACCAAGGAGTCACCTAAACATAGGGTTTCCTCTTTGTGGGTGTGCCATGAGCTGATTGGATCCGTAGCCAAAAGTCTTATTAGGTGCTCTGGGTTACTAAGCTAGTTTTTCTGTTGATGTACCTCCCCTAGAGTTTGAATTGAACACTATTTAGCACTTAGGCTAAAATAATATTGCATCAATTTTCTTTGTTTAAAAAAATCCCTGTGACCCATCAATTCTACATTTTTCCCTAAAGGGCGTTATTTTGACACCATGAATATTCTAATTATAGACTCCATGTTGGAAATCATCTGTAATTATCAAACAAAGGAAAGCCAATTATTAAAACCTGGTTGGAAGAGACCTAAGGGTTGGTCTGAACCTTGTTTGCCATGAACCATCTTCTTAGAACCATCCCCAGGAGGTCCTCTGACCCTGCCCTAGTGGCCACTGCAGGAAGATCTGCTCTGGTGAAGAGCAGGGGATTTGGATTCAGTCGCATATGGATTTGAATCCCAGCTCTGGTCCTTAGCAGTGAGCTCTTAGGCAATTTACTGAAGCTCTCTGAGACTCAGTATCTTTATCTGTAAGATGAGCCTACTAATATATGCCTTGCAGAGCTGTTACTTTTATAAACATGGCAAAGGGGAGTCTGATTTAATACACAGGTTAAATATGTGTGTCTTTATTCCTTCTCTCTCCTGAAACTTCACTGACAGTAAATGAAATTAAAACAAATAGGAAAGTTCTAAACTCACAGGATAAAGGGAACAGAACAGGAGACAATTACAAATTATATATCAACAGTTTTGTAAAATGTGTAGTAGAAGCCAAATTTTACAGAATGGAGAAAGCTACAACCTGAGAGTCTGCAGGGGAGATACAGACAGAAGTGAGCCAGACTGAATGACAGACAGTTTGAGGCTCAGGGTTTGGAGGTGGGACATGGCTGAAAAGAAAGAGATGGCTGAAAATCTTTACTGATTGCAGTTAGGACCTCAGTCTCTTTCTTCCATCCCACACATCAAGGCAACTACCCCTTCCCAGCCTTAGGTGAGATGGGAATTTTATAAGGAGAAAGAAAGTAAAGACAAGATAAGAAAATTAGATATCAACTTAAGACATACAACATCTATCCAGTAGAATTTCTGAAAAGACAAAAGAGAAAGCAGAGAAGATATAATCAAGTGATGATGTTTTAAAATATCAGCATTGACTGATATTAATACACACGTGCACGCCCACACACACACACACTCACAGTCTTCCCTAGGCACATCACTGGTGCTTTGTCCCACATCAGAATGTCTCAGAGGCTGAGGGGACATCCTCTGCAGTGTTGTCTCACCACAAGCTGCTGTTCTCCTTCCTAACTAGACAGTGCTTTGTTGCTGAGGAGCCCAAGGCACAGTAGATTTTGTCTGATTTAGATAATTGAGATGGGGAGGCTGGCGTCGGCAGCATCATTTCCCTAAAACCACATTTATTTCTACTACTGCTTAGGTCTGTTTTTATTAGTTCAATTTTTTTCCCAGAATATTCTCGGAAAGAGAATATTGACCCACACTGTTATCCAAGCTCAATTCTGAGAGAGCACAGCAGAAAGAACAATCACAATACATCAGCCAATGAATGCTTCAATGTCGAGATTGGAAAACAAATTTCCAAACACGATTCTAAATAACAATTTTGCTCCATTCTGTTGAAAAAAATTCTTTCCTAAACTTTGTCTATCTGCATCTTTAAAAGGATGGTATACATCTGAAAAGCAGTAAAGACTGTTCTGAGTAATCTTTTCTTCCTTTCCTCCACCTACCCTCCCATGAATGCACACATATGCTACATACACAAACACACAATTAAGTGGGTAAGAGGTAGGAACATTACATGTATGGAAAATACATCTTAGGCTGATGGGTAGAGAAAGTAAGTGAAGGGGAGAATTGCAAATTACATAAAGTAATTCTGAAAGGAAGATTTTTAGGAGGAAGCATGTTAGAGGACAATTGTCTAATTGTTAATATTGGATTTCAAATTCCAAGTTACAATTTATAATTTCTAGATGCAAAAATGAATACATCTACTTCAACAAGTAGGATAATCAGCAGGATAAGATAGGCTATACTTCAGTTACCAACAAACGTGAAACCTAAGTAAGTGGCTGATCGCGTGAAAGTACATTCCTTTTTCATGCAAGGTCCACTGCAGGTCCAGCAGCTCCCCCAGGCAGCTTGCTATCAAGTGACCCATGCTCTCATAACTAACATCATCATTTCAACCTGAAGCCTATAGCAGGGAAAAGGAAAATGTATGAAGAATCCTAATCATTCTTCTATGCTGCAAACCGGAAGTGATCCGTATCACTTGTACTTTCAGTCCACTGGCCAGAACTAGTTCCAAGGCCCCAGTTTAATTACAAGGGAGTCTGGAAAATTAAAGGGAACACATGGGTATTTGGTGAGCATTAAATGTCTCTACCACAGGCTGAAAGCATAGATGGCAATGCCTGATTCTGCCACTTCCTCACTGTGTAATTTATTTAAGCTCTCTGACTCAGATTCTTCAACTGTAAAATAGAGATAGAATAATATCTAATTTATGAGGTTGCTATAAGGATTACATGAGAATTTGCAAGTAAAACTTTCAGAATAGTGTCTGTCAGAGAGAAAATTTTATGACTGTTAGCTGTTATGTTGCCATCATTACTGTATTACCTAACTCACTATACACACCAAGGATTGACTAATCGTTACTGCCTCTGTGACTTGAAGTGTGACTCTAAGAGGAACATATTACATTTGAATGGTCTTTTACAGTTTGAATGTCAACAATAAACCTGTGTGTGATGCAGGAAAAACATAATTTTCAATTAATTATTTAGGAAACAGTTCAGAGACTGCTCAATTGGGTCAAAGTTGCCTCAACTAATTCCGGTGGCAAACGAGAATCCAGTTCTCATGACTCTTTCAACAGCCTCATCCAGGAGCCCCAGAATGACTGATCAGTGGGGAAACTAAGGCAGCAAAGGTGGCTTGATTCAAGGTGGCCAAGGGCCACCTTCCAAGATTGTAAGAAATACTCTCCTTTATTTTCCTTTGGTTTTAGTAAACTTTGATATACTTTCAAAGCATTTTTCCAGTAAATGTCATTTTAAAATAAAAAAGATAATTGTTTAAATTTACATTTCACCTCTTGGAAAGCAGCAGTCACATTATCTTATAATTATAATTCAAAAAATATATATATATATTTTTTTCAAAGCATTAGAATCCAAAAATAAGTTAAGTATTACAGACTAAAGGAAAAGAGAATCCCAGTCAATTTTAATAAACTTAGAAAATCTTACAAATGGATATTATGTTTGAAGTAAATAAAATAGGAATAATTTTAATTTTCACATTTAAAAATTATTTGGGCATGGTCTGAACTTAGTGACTTGCTTCCAAATAACATAGAAAAGGCAAAATAATAACATTGAAGTGAAGAAACCTGAAAGACATCACTTAACCAAATGATGAATGTTGACAGCACCAGTGGTAGAGTGGTAGTTATGTGGATCTCATGCAGCCTGGTAGAACGTGACAAGAAGGCCACTTTACCACTGTGATAATCTTCCCCAAACTCATAACTCCATCCTACTCATGATAAAAACATCAGATAAGCTCAAATGGAGAGATATTCTACA